GGGGGGGGGGGGAGAGAGAGAGAGAGAGACAGAGACAGAGAGAGACAGAGGAGGCACAATTTGTCGGCATTACTGAGGTGGAAGTTCAGAGTGGCCTGTGTCGAGGTGAGTCACCATGAGGATGGCCACAGGACCATCAGTGAGAGAAGACTATAGAGATGAGCACATAGCCAAGAGGCCCCACTTAAAGCAAGAGGACATGAATTTGTTGTGAACCCATTTTCCACAAATTCTATTACTTTCAACCTTAGCAGGAATCATAGAGTAACTGAAAATTGTCTGAAGTCAAAGTTGTGGGGAAGTTGATTGAGTAGATTGCTGGACAGAGGAGCCTCTCCTGGCCTATCTTCCCAGGCCGGGGTTGCGGGTGAGTGAGACCTGAAGTGGTCAGGTGACTTGTGGAGTGGCTGGAAGCAAACACACGTGCACACACATGAACACACAAACACAACACTCTTGTGCATCTTTTAAATCTGTTTGAATGAGATCTAGAGAATCTAATGAGCAATGAGTTGGCTGCACAGGTCAGGAGCAGAGGCAGCATTTATCTCTCTGGCTCCCCAATTCTCTGATGGGGCATGCAACTACCAGTGATGCTTTTAGCTTCCTGCCAGAGTTAAATAAATAGTCACACTTTCCTTATACTGTCGGCCTTTTGCACTGAGGTTTATGTCACCATTCAGGAAGAACTTATACTAACCAAGGGGTATTTTAAAACATTTATGCGCCAAATCATTGAACTAAACTGTGAGGGTGGAGGGTAGTGGAGAAGAAAGGAGGAGGCAGAGTCAGCCCTTGGTAACTCTGAACAATTTCTCGGCTTCTAGAGTCCTGGACAGTTTGCCTCTGATGCTGATGCAATGACCATGTTTTATCCAGGATGTTTTAATACTAAGTCTGAAGGCCATCAGCACAAATCTATGTTCCTCATTGGCTGGGACAGCAGGAGGAGTCAAACTCTTAGGGGGCTCATTGGAACTGAAGGAGGGGAACAGGAGTGAGGAAGAGGTGGGAGGCAAAGGAAGATGGAGTTGTACAAAGAGTTTCATGTTTGAAATTGTGGGAAAGCAATAGGATCCAGGGTGTTGCCTGGCCACTGGTCACTAAGTTTAGTAGTTCCCATGGGCACTTAGTGGGATCTCCATGCCAGTGAACAGCAGAGGGTTCACAGTGACTTCCAGAGATGAGGCCTCAGGTAGGTATCGAGTGGTAGGAACTCACAGATAGGGCAATAGCATGAGGGGCCATGGTTGAATTGAAGTGGAAGGTTCCAGCCTGCCTTTCCCTACCACACAGTGGAGGGAGAACTGATGCTTCTTTCTTCGTTTCTGCTTCCTTCCACCAGCAGAGGGGTTGGAAAGTCAGGTACAAAACAGATGCAGTCTATGCTGTCACCAATGTCTGTGCTGAAGGAGATGGCCAAATGTTAAAAAAAAAAAAAAAAGAAAGAAAGAAAAGAAAAGAAAAGCAAAAAGTGGAAGGGAGGAAGAAAGAAGAAAACCACTTCTCCTTACTACTTACTGACATAAATGTTGTTCTTGGATTGGACCAGAGGGAGAAAAACATGGGTATTTTCAAGTTGATTTTTATGGTCAATAGACCATAAAGAGCTTAGAATACCTGTTTATTTTTAGATTCCAGAGGTGGGGCACGAGAGAGGCAGATAAGGAACACAAGTCACCCTACATGTTAGTCTGACTCATTCATTCCTTCAGCAATTGTTACTCAGATCCTACCTTTGTGCCAGGAATTACGCTGGGTGCAGGAAATGAAACAGACGGGTCCTTGCCCCTGGAGCAACATGCAATAAATAAGTGAACAGAGAAGTAAATCTAGATTTCTTAACTTGTGATTGCCACAAAGAAGCCACAGGGGCAGAGAACAATGGGCAGAAAGGGGCACGCTTTGGTAGAGGCAAAGATCTCTTGGTAGGGATGGAGGTGGCATCTGAGCTGACATCTAATGGTTGAGAAGCAGCTGCCATGAAAAAAGCCTGGAGGAGAGCTTTCCAAGCAGGGAACAGAAAATAGCACTGGGTTTAAGAAAGGCAGCTTTGAGCCAGGTGTATGGGTGCTTACCTGTAATCCCGGTGGCTCAGGAGGCTGAGGCAGGAGGATCACAAGTTGGAGACTAGCCTCAACAAATTTAACAAGACCGTAAGCAACTTAGTGAGACCCTGGGTCAAAGTAAAAAATAAGAAGGGGTGGGGATGTAGCTCCGTGGTTAAGTGTCCCTGGTTTCAATTCTAGGTACAAAACAAAAAAAAAACAAAAAAAACAACTCTGAGGCAAAAACAATGTTTTCAACCTTCCTTTCCATTTTCCTGTGGGTGATAATATGTGACCTCTTCAAGCATTTCTGTCACTTTACACTGTATCAGAGCCCCAATGGTAGCGTATTGCCATTCTGAATGTTGAATACTAGTCAGATGAGATTAGGATGAAGCAAAAAAAAATGTGGCAGCTGGGAGGAGGCACAGGAATGTGGCTCTGAATTTTAAAGCTCAGTTACTGATTTACAAGCATGTAGCAGTCAAGTACCAAGTTTAGCATCTGTATGCTGGTCAGCACTCTGGTTCTGAAGCTGGCAAGTGGCAACCAACATCCCATGACAAATAACTTTCTTCAGCGCCTTCTGCACAAAGGAAAGCAAATCTCATCAGACTGACATTTTGACAGCCACGGCAGAATGTAATTCCTGCTACGCAAACACAAAACAGCTTCTGATCAATTCCAGGAGAATGCTGTTTACCAGTAACCTTTCCTTAGTTTTTTTTTTTTAATAAAAGTTTTATTTTGTTATAGTTTGATATTTACAGAAACATTGTCAAGGTGGTACAAAGAGTTCCTGTAGAGCCCTTCTCCAGTTTTGCCTGTTATTAACATCTTACATCTACTATGGTACATTTGTCACACCTAAGGAACAAACATTGGTGCAGGACTGCTAACTAAACTAGTCTTCATTTGGATTTCACCAAATTTTCCATTAATATTCTCTTTTCTGCTCTGGGACTCTATACAGGTTATGACAGTGCATTTGATCACATCTCCCTTGTCTCCTCTGGTCTGTGATAGTTTCTTAGTCTTCCTTTGTTTATTGTGACCTTGTCGGTCTTTAGGAGTTCTGGCCAGGTGACTTATAGACAGATCCCTAATTTGATTTTTTTTTCTGATGTTTTTCTCATGGTTCTGCTGGGGTTATGGGTTTAAGTGAAAGAGTACAACAGAGACAAAAGGCCCCCTCTCATCACATCACACCAGGGAATGGGAAATCAATAGGATTCATCACTAGTCAAGCTAATTTTGTTCACTAGGTTCAGCTGAGGGTGTTTGCCAGGTTTCTCCATATAGTTACCATTTTTTCTTTTTAAGGAATTTAAAAACTAATAATGTTAAACTATGGCAGTAGTAAATAAATTCTTCATTTACAGAAATGTTCCAAGGTAGTACAAAGAGTTCCCATATGCCCCTCACCCTTGTAAAAGATGAAAAGATAACTCAAGAGTTAATTCCTCCTTGACCACCCTCTTCCCAAGTGTTGCTCTTCGTTCCATCTCCCCAGAGGTAAACACTAGTATTACTCCCTGCCTTTTCAGTGCTTTTACATGCATATGTATATTCCCATAAAAAGAGAGAGAGAATAATTTTGTTTCAGTTTTCTGTATAAATGACATGTCACACCATGAGACTGTCCGTCTGTAACTGGCTTTTTTTGTACAACAATCTGTCTTGAAGATCTGTCTTGCTGCTCTTTTTTAATGGCTATATGATATTTTATAGCAGGCTACAGCTTAGACAGCTGTCTTCATGGAAAGTAGCTGCCAATTTTTCTTCTAGTAAAAAGCAGTCCTACTGAACTTTCTTGTATATGTGTTTCTTTAGAGTAGATATTTAAAGGTGGATTTTCTGGGTCACAGAATATGCACAAAAACTTTTACATGAATCTTGCCAAGGTGTTTAAACCATTCCCCGCACCAGCAACTTATGAGGGTTTCTGTGTCCTATAACTATTGTGAGCAAACACTGGAGATGTTTGTCTGAACTTGATAATGTTTTAATGTTTCTATCACATTTCAAATTGGGCTTTAATTGAAGGTTGGACCTTCTTTTCTAGCAAAATCTAATTCTATATTTACTTAAAGATATAGGTTTGGGGAATATAGAAAAAAAATTTTTAATGTCCAATTATTAACTCAAGATCAGGTATAACTAAAATGAGATAATTCTGGTCAAAATGGACTATAAGACTTTTATTTTCCTTTGAAAATTAAAAATTATATATATTTAGTCATTGTCCTGGTTAGGACAAGGAATGAACCAGCGAGGTCTTTGTGGATTCTGCTGAGTCTGTAATTTGTTAGGTAGATGGTCCCATGCCATTCTGTAAGAATTTTAGTCAGTTTTTTTTTTTTTTTTGTCACTGTGAGTAAAATACCCAACAAGAACAATTTTAAAGGAGGAAAAGTTTATTTGGGGACTCACAGTTTCAGAGGTCTCAGTCCATGGACAGCTGGCTTCATTCCTTGGGGCTGGAGGTGAGGCAGGACATCATGGCAGTAGAGTGTGGCAGAGGGAAGCAGCTCACATGATCATCAGAAAGCAGAGAGAGAGAGAGACTCCACTCACCAGATATGAAATATACTGCAAAGCTACTCCCCCAATGCAGGGGATTAATTCACTGATTGGGTTCAGGTTCTCATAACCCAATCATTTCTTCTCTGAACCTTCTCGAGTTGTCTCACATGTGAGCTTTTGGGGAACACCTATGTTCAAACCATATCACCAAGAAAGCACTTGTTTGTTAAAATGGCTATGTTTGGACATTATAATCTACTATTAACCATGGTATTTTTAAATTTGTGGTTTAAATCAGTCACTATTTTTTAACCTTATGGAGTGAGTGGTAAAGTGGCAGAAATACCATATCCAGGCTCAATGTGGCATTTACTTTTTTAAAAAACTGTTTTTTTAAATAATATTGGCATGTATTTATCATGGAAAATGTGAGAAACAGAAAATTATAAGAAAGAAAGAAAAAAATCAACTATCATTTTATCACCTAAAATAATAACAATATTGTGAACCTTTTGTCTATATCCTATTCTTTTTGTCCATGGATAAACACACATTAAATCATGGAGACATTTGGGGATGGGGAAATACATAATACTTACTTTTCCTTTCATTCCTCCTATCCAACTTCCCCATCCAATGTGTTTGCCAACTTCCCAAAAGGAAATAAGATCTGCAATCAGTAGAAATCTCAGAACTGAAAATATACAAATTTGGTCATGCTGACAAGGACCCAGCCACAGGCAGGGTGAAGGTCAATAAAAGTCAAAGGTATATCTACTCATGAAGCAAGTGTGCGCACAGAAGGTGTTGTCATTCTGGATTCTGGGCGGCTTGCTGCTTACCTGCACTGTTGATTACATTCCTGGTTTTTGGTATTTCCAAAGCAGTTTTCTTTCATGGCTGTGGTTGATTCCCTCTTCCCAGAGGATGTTGGACTATATCCTCTTCCTCATCCCAGCCTGTCTGTGCCCCCTTCCTTTCTTCCTGGCAATCCGCTAGCCAGACAGTACTTTTGTGGTTTGTTCATTCCTTCAAACGTCTTTTGCTGTCACTTGATGTCACTTTCTGCTCTTTTCTGTGTAATTCTGGGTAATTTTAGAAGCAGCTGAAAAAGTTACAATACCATCCGAGAAAGGATGTGGCTCAGAGTTTTCCCTCTGAGACCACATAGGTCAGGGCTGAACTGTAGCCTGAGCACACCACAGGCCCAGCTGGCAAAAGGCTCCAGAGGAGCCCTCTCCCCCCACACTCGAGAGAATTGTAGAATTTCAGCTCTCTCAGATAGTTTTTATTTTCATGCAGTTTTTTTTTTTTAATAGAGATTTTCTTCATGTTGGGATGATGATCTTGTGTGTCCATTTTTAGGAACGGGAGTGTACCATGTCATAGTCCTAGGGCTGTGATATACTTACCCAGGATACACTGATGGGTACACTGACCCTCAATACACAGGAAATGACTCTACCCACCGGTAGAATGGGCAACCACCCAATGATAACCAACATTCTCACTCACCTATTCTTCCTGTGGTCCCTATCAAAGTTGTCCACCCAACTGCCAGTCATGAAGCCTGGTAGTCTGTCTTCAGAGCCCTGGGGACCAGATTAGTTAAAATTAGGTTTGGCTGTTGGTTGTAGGGAAACAAAATGGCAGAGGATTAAAGATTAAGGATTAAGCTGGAGGCTTTCTATACATTCTGTCATTCAGGAGAGATGGAAATTTCTCTTTCTTGCCTTCCGATGAACATCTAGAAGTAGGAAGTACAGAGCTGGCATGGCAGCTCTGCTCCATGAAGTCCTCAGGCACCTCAAATCAGTCTGTCCCAGAATTTCTAACAAGTGTGGCCTCCTTATTGGAGATCAACACGTGGCCCGAGATGGAATTCCAGCTGTCACCTTCATGTTTTAAGCAGCAGGATGGAGGATAGGGTGGGCAAGCTGCCTCATCAGGGATATTCCTAGAAGATACAACCTGGCCCATTTCCCCAGTCCATTGGTCATGTAACTACACCAAGAGAGAGAGGCTTGGGAATGCTTATTTTTTTTTTTAATTTATTAACTCACAGAACTGCCATCTTTATCTGAGTGGCCAAATGTCAAGATAGATATTTTATTGTAGAAAAAGAGAGAAAGAGCTATTGCTGGGGAACAACTAGTAGTTTCTGCCATAAGGACTTGTTGAAATTCCAAGAATCAACTGTTAGAACCCAGAGAGGAACCTCAGTCATTGCTACTCAGTACTTAATGTGGGGATCAGTGCCACTGTAAAAGAATGGGGTGCATGCCCAGGGACAGGTAAAGAGGGCATCCAAGAAGAGGCTGTCTAGAGAACCAGGGGCAGGACCACAGAAATCGCCTTCTTCCCAGTTTGCCCTGGGGCCCCTGTGTATGACAGCACCTTTCTTGGTGTCTGGAAAGATGACTGTAGAAATGCAAACCACGAATTCCACGACACATCCTACAGGTCTGGCCGACGACTACAATTCATGGAGGAGAGAAATGGCATTCTGAGGAACTATTAGGTACCTGGCACTAAGCTGGAGGCTTTCTATAATTCTGTCATTCAATTCTCACATATTCCATTTCCCACACTCATGTCATTTGACAACTGTGGAGGAAACAGGTGCAAGACTTTATTTATTTATTTCTTGCTGGGGATTGGACCCAGGGCCTTGTGCATGTGAGGCAAGCACTCTACCAACTGAGCTATATCCCCCAGCCCTCAGGTGCAAGACTTTAAATGACTGATCATATAGCTAATGGGGAGAAGGAGGGTTTAAATTCATTGATCTCTCTTTAAGAACAGAGGTCCAAGGTTCCAGGCACACATATTCTTGAAAAATGTATTGGCTTTTTATAAATTGAATCATGCAAAAGGCAATAATTTTGGGGGTGGCTACTATTTAAAAGCTGTGAATGTTTTCATAAAACAAAGACTTAGCTACTGAAACAGTGACCCTCCAGATTTTCATATGTCAGGTTGAAATGGATCAAGGAGCTCTTCCGCTAATGCGTCTAAATATGGATCATGAGGTTTAATTTTATAAGAACCTGTTATGATTTTGTTAATAATGATGCAAATGTTTTATGTAATTGAACTAATGCTCATTTTTTTTGATAGAATGCAAATATGAAGGAGAATGACCTTTCAGTGGAACAAAATGAAAATGTGCTAACACGAATAAGTCTCAGTCAATGTGCTGATGGGCCTCTCAAGCAGAAAAATGAGACAGGGTAAAATTAAATCATAAATCATTTTATTGGTGACTCAAGAAAATGGATTAAAAATTTTAGGAAAAATCGAGTGATTGATTAATATGTCGCTTACATGTTAACTCAAAAATGTTTGGAGTTGGAATGAAAACAAGAATGTTAAAAAGGTCATACAACTAAAGTAATGTTTCACCCTAGGACTCTTTTTAACGAGAGTAATTGCTAAGAGAAATTTCTTTTTATATTTATACACAGCGTAATTATTTCCGCTCCAGTGCTTTTTTTTAAAAGGGAAGCTATTGTGAAATTTCTTTATGTTAAATAAAATGACTTTGATTTGTATGTGAATTGTTGAACTCCTTTGAGATGGAAAAAATTTATTATATTTCTCTTGCTTACTAAAGGTACAACTATGCAATGGCCCTACAAGTGCTGGGCTTGGATGATGAAGCCGAGCTCAGTGATGGGAACCCTGTCTCGATGAAAGGGGCCTACTTGTCCTTTCTGTGTCTGCGCCACCTGCGAATCAGGTCGCTGCAGGTATGTGGATGGCCCAGCATACTGGTTTCAGGTATCAGAAATGTCTGATGGTCTAGAAAGGGGTCTCTCTGCTCTTCAGTAGTAATTTATTTCTATGCTTTTGCTCTTTATTCTTTTATTTATTTATTTTTAACATGAAACCAATCCCTTTCTGAGGCAGTGTGTTCCTTTCTCCACAGTAGGGTTGGCCTGCCACCCCGTCACCTCCTGAAGTTTCACTCTGTAGTGTGGGACAAGGCAAAGGGCAGGGTCTTGATTCTGTTCTTCTCTTTGTTTCAGCGTACCTGCTTGGGAATTCTGAACTATTTCAGATCTGTCGAGCGAACTTTGACAATCAATACTTCAGGCCTTACCTTGGTTTCAGGGAAACTGGTCCCCACCATGGAAGATAGTTCTTGGGTCAATGTGACACGAGGAGGCTTGGGCACCTCACAAGGCCTGGGAACTCACCACTATGTCCATGGGACATCTGCTGAGCACAAGGTGAGGTGCTCTGCTGTGAGTTATTCTTCCTTGACTATCTTGTCTCCCAAGTCAACTTTTTCCTTGCAATTCAAATCAGTTAACATGGTGGAGTAGTGGGGTGTTTCTTAGGCATAAGGTTTTTGGTTTTGTTTTTTAAAAATTGTAGTAAAAGGGAAAATACGTTTCTAACCACAATAAAATACAGTGTCCACTTGAGGGCACAAGCCAGACAGAGAGCACCCTAAGAGCAGCTCTAAGGCCACCATGGAAAGAGAGGTTTAGCTGCTGAATTGTTGATGCATCGTGAACAGAGAGCATATGGTGCTTTATGGGTTTTCCTCGCCTGAGAACCACATGTTCTTACAAGGAAGCTCTTACAAGTTCCCCCTTGACATTGCTAGCGGTACCATTTTGGCCCTTTGCTGTTTTCTAAGCCCTGAATGTAAAAATAGAATTTTATAAAGGGGGGGGGAGGGGATAGAGGCAAATTAGAAAAACATGAAACAACAACAAAAAAATTCTATTCTTTCAAAAAGCCTGTTTGCCCTCTGGTGCTTTTGATGTCTCTTGAACATATTTTTCTGTAGCCTCTTTAGAACTTCAATCCTAGAGTCAGGCATGTGAACTCTTGTAATCCACCTTACCCACCCCCACCCCGTACCAAAAACAAAACAAAACATTCTCTTAATCCTTTGCATTGAAAACCATCCCTTAGCTGATCATGGTGGTGCACGCCTGTAATCCCAGCAGCTTAGGAGGCTTGAGGCAGGAGGATTGCAGGTTTGAGATCAGCCTCAGCAACTTAGTGAGGCCCTCAGCAACTTAGCAAGACCCTGTCTCAAAACAAAAATAAAAAGGTCTGGGGATGTGGCTCGGTGTTTAAGTGCTCCTAGATCAATCCCTGGAACAAAAAAAAAGTGAAATTTCAATCCTAACAAAAGACCCTTTATTCGGAAACAAAGTTGAGCATTTCTATGGTTTGGTGGGCTATTGTAAAGTCTTGCAAATTTTCCATCTCAAAATCTAGAAAGTTTATTCCTAAAGATGGGCTTTAATATGAATTTAATACTTTTTTTTTTTTCAGTGCTGAGGATTGAACCCAGGGCCTTGTGCTCTACCAACTGGGCTCTATCTCTAGCCCATGAAGTTAATACTCTTAAAAGACACTGTTTGACAGTGATTGACAAATATGAAAAATAAAACTTTTTTTAATACGAAACAAATCATATTCTAAGCTAATGTGCCTGTCATATCTGTAAGGGTGTGAAACCTTTCTGTGAACCGTTGCTCCTAGGTGCAGGCTAGATCAGCCTATGCAGAAGCAAAATGCAAGCAACACACAATTTTTAAAATTCCAATAGTCATATTTAAAAACATTCAAAGACACATATGAACTTAAATTTGGGGGGTTGGGTATTGGGGATTGAATCCACGGGCACTCTAACACTAAGCTACATTCTCAGACCTTTTTATTTTGAAACAGGGTCTAAGTTATTTCACTAAGGAATCACTGATGAGATACTACTCCCTTTTTAAATTTTTTTTTTTTGATATTGTCTTTAAAATCTGGTTCTGTTTAATACGGAAAACCCATTTTGGCTCCAACAAGTCACATTTCAAGGCTTAATGGTCACATGTGACTAGAGGTTACGATCCTGAACAGTTAAGCTTTAGATGGTGGGAAGTATTTTTGCCACCCAGTCATTTAGAGTCCTACCTTCCATTGTACCCAAGACAGCCTTCCATTTTTTATCTTCTTACCTAATAAACATCCCAAATTCCTATCCCCTACTATACACAGATGTCTCCAATCTCCCCTCACTCCCTCACCCCTTGCCTCTCTGCCCTCCTCTCTTGATCCCAGCTCATCAAGCCCAGTGAGCTCACCCCTCAGTGGAACCAGAGAGGAGGGTTAAGACACTTTAAAACAAACCTACAGCCAGATTGGTGGCACATTCCAGTAATCCCAGCAGCTCAGGAGGCTGAGGCAGAAGGATCATGAGCTCAAAGCCAGCCTCTGCAACTTGGTGCAGCCCTAAGCAACTCACTGAGACCTTGTCTCTAAATAAAATATAAAAAAGGGCTGAGGATGTGGTTCAGTGGTTTAGCACCCCTGGGTGCAATTCCCAAAACAAACCCTTGTAAGACAAACACATCTTTTTCTTACTAATATTATTAATCTTACCACAGCTGTGATATATTATCATGCTAATTGATTTTTTAAAAATTCTTGCCCAAGAGTGCCACTTTGTTTATTCTGGGTTGAGGGTGAGGAGTAGAAATAAAGGAAAAGGGAGACAAATATTATCCTGCCCCATTGATTGGAAGAATAGTTTCTTGGGTTAATGTAGTATTTCCGTACTATTTTCTCATAAATGGTAGGGATAACATCATTCCTAAGAGCTACCAGCTGCTATTACTTCAGTGTGAGACACTCAAGACCTGTCAGAGACTTTAATGGAACCATGCGGTTTAGCTACTTGCTGTGGGTGTGGCATGTATCCAGGCCTGACTGGTGTGATTTTCCCATGTAGGGAAAGGGCAGGGCAAATGCTAATCCATTGGGTTGATCTCACTGGCTGGGACAAGGTTGCTGGGAGCAAGACCCCTGAGCTTACCAGATATGAGAGGAGCTCCTAGGATGAAGACCCTTTCCCCAGCCCCTTTCCCTTCATCCAGTGTGCTTGATCCCACAAGGAAAGTTTGGGGCTAATAGTAAAGACTGTTCATTCAACAGTAATACAGAAGAAAGAAGGCACTTAAAAATCTGTCATGGATATCTTGCTGCTTTATGAGTCTCCTTAAAGGCATGTGGAAGAAAGAGCCCCAAACAAGAGCAGAAAACTCTGGCTGTCTGGCCTTGAGATTGACTCCTCAGGTGTGAGGTCTGACGGTCCATGTGGTGTTCAGGGTCTGCTGGGACTTGTGTGCGGATGGCAGGGGATGTTGAGAGGAAGTGGTGGGAGGTGAGCCTACACAGAAGAGTGGACCAGACCATGAAGGCCTAGGCTCTCATTAGGATGTGGGACCAATTCCAAGATTGGTAGGGAACAGAGAAGAATTTTAAATAGGAGACTGTCTCTCCAAATTGCTTTGTAAATTTCTCTGGGATCTTTGCCCAAATGTAATCCCACTTATTTCCTTGCTTGAAATCCTACATGGGTTTCCTGTTTCTCACAAGATAAAGTCCAGGCTCCTTGGTGACATTTACAAGGCTGAGCACAATCTGGCCCCTGTGAACCTCTGAGACCTCATTTCCCTGGGCTGTCCCCAAATTTCCATGTCAATAAGCTGGGCCTGGACTTCCTTGGAAAGGGCAGAACTACTTGCTTCTCTGGACCCCTCTGTCCCTTGCTTCCTTTCTCCTTAGTACGTGCCTACTGTGACCCAAGAGTGCATTCAAATATCTCCTCTCCAAGGATGCCTTCCTTGCCATCTCTGTGCAGCACTGTTTCTTCTCTGAATCTGCTTCCAGCATAGCACTAAACATATGGCTGGCTTGACTATCAGCTTATCTGCTCCCTCAAACCATGTGAGTCCATCATTCATCCATCCGTTCCTTGCACAAATATTCTATCTATTAATTGTCCTAGGCACTGGGGATACAGCAGTGAACATAACTGGTATAAATTCCTGCTATCATGGCACTTACCTTGTGGAGAGAAACAAACATATTTATAACAGATGCAGAATGTCAGGGGTTTGACACCAAGGCTTGCCCAGACTTCCTAGCCCTTGCAGTTGCATGTGGCCTATGACTAGCTTTGGCCAGTGGGCTGTGAGCAGAAACAGCCTATGTCAGTGTCAGTCCAAAGCTGGTGCATAGCCTCAGGCCCTCTTCTGCTTTAGCCAGTGGAAGGCACAAGTTGAGATGATCAAATCACAAGATGAAAACATCCTGGATCGCTGTATTGCTGCTAGAAGGTGGCAGCCTCGAGTCTCCGTCCTTCAGTGGGTTTGCATGAGTGAGAAATTCATTTTAAGTGTTAGGCTACTGAACTTGGCGGTTGTTTATCACAGAATTGCCTGGACTTTGTGGACAAATAAAGATGGCAATAGCTACTGTGGAGAAAAACTATGTAGAAAAGGAGAGTGGAAACTGGTGGAGGGGGTGATGGGGTGTTGCCATGGTAGCGTGGTCAGGAAAGGCCTTACAGAGAAGGGACTGCCTGAGTTAAGACCTGGAGAATTTCAGGAAGCAACCCACATGACCGTCTGAGAAAAGAGTGCCAGAGAGGAAAACCAGTGTATAGGTCCCAAGGCAGGACTGTGGCCAGCAGGGCTGCAAGAACAAAGAAGTTCAGAGTGACTGGAGTAAGTGAAGGGCAAAGCAGTAACTGATAAAGCTAGGAAGTGCGGGAAGACTTTCTAGGGCTTTATGGACCACTGTGTAGAACTTGGCTTTGACTTTGAGTGGGAAGGGGAGTCCCGGGAATGTTTAAAGCAGAAGAGTGGAAACAGTGATTTTTTTTCCTGGGGGTGGGGGGGTTACAAGGAATTGAACCCAGGGGTGCTTAGCCACTGAGCCACATCCCCAGCCCTTTTTATTTTTTATTTTGAGATAGGATCTTATTAAGTTGCTTAGGGCCTCACTAAGTTGCTGAGCCTGGCTTCAAACTTGTGATCCTTCTGCCTCAGCTTCCCTAGCTCCTGGGATTACAGGTGTGAGCCATGACACCCGGCCTTGACTTATATTTTAACATTCATGCTGCTGCAGTGGGAACAGCCAGAAGGTACTTAGAGCTAGCACAGAGAGACTAGTTAGGAGCCTATTGCATTAAGCAAACTTGACTATATGCACTGCATAACCACATTTTGATCAATGACCAATTGCAATTCAATGGTATTCCCATAAAATTATAACTGTAAGTGGAAAAGGTCCTATTGCCTAGTGACATCACAGTCATTATAATGGCATGGTGCAATACATTATTTATGAGCTTGTGGTGATTTAAATGTGAACAAACCTCTTTTTATATTTTTAGATACACAGATATTCAGCACAGTAACATGGTGTTCAAGTTTAGAGCCTAGGAACAATAAGCTATAACATATAGCAGCAGTCTATACTATCTACGAGTGTGTAGGTACATTCTGTGATGTTCACACAACAAAATCACCTAAGGACACATTAGAACACATCCTCATTAGTAACATATGACTATATTTGAAAGGTGCAACTAGCACAATTTCTAGGCAGAAAAGTCAACGCTGATTCCAAAGTTTTGACCCAAGCATTGGAGTCACAATCAACAGAGAGGTGATGGAAGCAGATTTTTTGGAAAGATCAGAATCTCAGTTTAGAACATGGAATGTCTGAGGTGCTTGCTGAATGGATCAGCAAAAAGATATAGAAAGTTGGATATGTATATTTCATGTAGTAGGTATTTAATAAATATTTATTTGACAGAAGAAAGACTCTGCCCCTAACAGAATGGTTGTGAGATTACAGAAGGACCATGCATGAAAGAAGGACCATGCATGAAAGTGTCGTCCAAAAGCAGGACAATTAATTACAGTAACAATATTATACTCTATAGACTGTGGGGGAGGGGGAGTCAAATAGAAGATAGCTTTGATCATTTTTTAAAAATATTGTAGCAAAATAATTGAGTCATTTATCAAACAATTTTGATTGGATTCTTAGGTTGAACTACTATTAAATTAATACAAGATGATTAAGGAAAAGAAAACTAGTTAGATAAGCATTGTTTACACTGCCAAGAGGCCTACAATACACATTACTGCGTGCTGGCAGTAGTCTCTAGGTTGAAAAGTCAGTGATGGGCCACCAATTTTCCTGTAGTTACTTTTTTTTCAGCAAATAGTAATCTTGGTGTGAGTTAATTTTCAGACTTAAAATCACATATGAATCATTCCAAAGGTCATATTATTTCTTACTCAGATAATTATTGCCCTCCCCTTCCTGCCACTCCTCCAAGCATAATATTGAAGGATCAACTCTCCAGACCACAAAACCTTTAGAAGGAGAGTCTTTCACGGGACCATGGAAAAGTTAAAAAGGAAATAAGGAAACATTGTAGTGACTAAGCCATAACCCTGCAGGAAGCAATTTGGCTGTTTGGTCTTCAAAGTGGATCTCCTGTGGACACAAGTGCACTTTTCAAAGACAGGGGATGGGGGAGAAAAAGAGCAAAGCATAGCCCAAAGAGAAAGAATACGTGTGCCTTTTAAAGGGTCCGAACAATGGAGCCTGGTGAGGAGAGCAGGAAAATGAGGATTTAAATAGACGATAGCATTAGAGTTGGCATCTGGACAATACTATTGCTCTCCATCAGCTTCAGAACTCAATTCAATAGCGATTTCTTTAAAGTCGTACAGTTTCCCCTGTACAAGAATACTGGGAAAGGTCTTTTCCAGAAAAGTGGGTAAAGTATAACATATTAAGTTGTATCCCCCTCACCCCCCCACTTTTTTTTTCCTAAAGGAGAACCCACTTTACATAATAAAAGACAGGAGCTAATTGCTAATAGAATCCAACATGGTAATTCGTAAACCTAAGAAAACTGTTAATTTTTATATGCAACATCTCATTTTCTTGACTTTTTTCTTTTTTCCACTGATACTCAGGTACTAATCAGATTTGTGAAAATCAGTGATTTAACTTTTTGAATTCTAATCGAAGGGAGCTCCTGATTATATTTAAAAATGACTAAAGAATAGCAAAAAGCAAAGCAAAACAAAAAATCACCACCTGCTAGAGGAATGCTTAACTAAGAAATGCCCTCTTGATGAAATAGTTCAAATGATAGCTTTTATTTAGAAATGCTCACATTTTTATTTATTGGAAAGTTTCTCACTTTCTGCTTCAGTGACTGAGAATCTAGAACTTTGCAGCACATAAAAACTATTTCTAATTGTAGATCCATAGAACCATATGGATTCAGAGCCCTTGTCCATTTTTCCGATATTGGAAGTTAACCATCTAAGCCAAGAATAATCTGCCCTGTTTGTGATGTTTCCAGAAGGGTTCCTGTATTTGTATAATAGACAACACTATATGTATAAATCCATTGACAGATCTACGGAAAACCAAAGTATTATTGCTTAACATGTATTGATTCTTATATTATATCCAATAATTGATTCTTTAGCAAAGTTTTTTATGTCATAAGAATAAATAGGCTTGGGACCAAAAGTTGGGAGAACTGGTTTTATAGTTTAAATGACTCATGAATAACACTTAGAAACTCAAGTTTTTTAAAAAAAAATATAAAATGGATACTAAAAAATCCTGAAAAGAGCCAGACATGGAGGTGAGCATCTGTTTTAAGACTCTGTCTCAAAATAATAAAGGTCTGGGGATAAAAAAAAAAAAGTGTTGGGGATATAGCTCAGTGAGAGAACTTGCTAACATGTACAAGGCCCTGGCTTAAAGGATCTCTAGTTACACAAAACCAACCAACCAACCAACCAACCCCCTAAAATTAATAAGAATGACCAGGATGTGGACAAATTAGAAGGTTGTGCACTGTTGGTTAAAATGTGAAATGGTATAACTACTGTGGAAAACAATCTGGAGGTTCTTTAAAAAATTAAAAATAGAATTACAATATGATCCAGAAATTCTACTTCTGGTTATATATTCAAAAGAATTGAAAGCTGGAATTAAAACAGATATTTGTACACCTATATTCATATTCATATCCTTATTATTTTAATACTGGGAATTGAATACTCAGGAGCACTCAGCCACTGAGTCACATCCCCAGCCCTATTTTGTATTTTATTTAGAGACAGGATCTCACTGAGTTGCTTAGCATCTCACTTTTTGCTGAGGCTGCCTTTGAACTCACGATCCTCCTGCCTCAGCCTCCAAGCTGCTGGGATTATAGGCGTGTACCACCACGCCCTGCATAGCAGCATTATTTACAATAGCCAAAAATTGGAAATACTCCAAGTATTCATCAATGAATGAATGAATAAACAATATGTAACATATATACTATGGAATATAATTCAGCTTAAACAGGAACGAAATTCTAATGTGCTACAACATGAATGAACCTTGAGAACACTGTACTCAGTAAAACAAACCAATCACAAGGATAAATACTGCCAAGTCTGTTTATACAAGTGAGATGCTTGAGTAGTCAAATTCATAGAAACAGAGTGGAATGGTGGTTCTCAGAAGAACCCTTACCATGATAACCCTCATAGAGAATGTATGTATTAGGGTAGAGTGGCATAAAGTCAGAATTTATAAGAATTAAGCCCAGAATTTTTTATTGATTTTTTTGACTGATATATTTTTAAAGTACAAGCAGAGATCATAAAAATCCTAGACTTGAAGAAACCTATGTGTAAAAATATTTTTAAAATGTGTACATTGATTTACTCTTTTATTTAACAAGTATTGTCTTAAGTGCCTACTATGTGGTAGTCTCTGCTAAAGCAATGGGAATACAATGATAAATGAAAGTAGACACGTTACTTAATCTTGTAGTATTTTATAGTCCAGTGGGTGAGACAAATATTGGCCCCAAATAGCACAAATAAGTGTAAAATATCAATATCAATAAGGCAGGACCATGCTTTCATGGAAGGCTCTGGAGTTTCCTTCCTTATCTCTTCCAGCTTCTGGTAGTTGCTGTCTGTGCTTGCCAATCCTTGGCCCTCCTTGACCTAGGTGTATAGTGCTAATGTCTTCATGTGGTCATCTCCCCTAAAAGTCTGTCTTATAAAACAAATGTCGCTTGTTTTATAAGGACACTATCTATTGGTATCCCACCCTAATCCAGTATGACCTCATTTTAACTCGATTATATTTGCAAAGGCTATTTTTCCACATAAGGTCTCATTCACAGGTGGACATGAATTTGGAGGGACACTATTCTACCCAGTATATCACTAAGACATGAGATTGTGCTAATTCATTTAAAAGTTTTTTTATACAATTAAAACAAAATGTATTAACAGCTGGCATTTATAGATTCCGAGTACGTTGACTGTGTAGTGTCACTACACTATGGTTGTCAACTACTATAGTTGTGGGGGCTAAAATAAGCAGAGTGACTGGCCCAGGGTATGATCCTGGCAGAGCCAGGACCTAAAAGAGGCACTTTGACTTCAGAGATTGTGTGTGTGTGTGTGTGTGTGTGTGTGTGTGTGTGTGTGTGTTTTGTCGGAATTGAACCCCAGACCTGGAGCATTCTACCACTTAGCTACATTCCCAGTCCCCGCCTGCCCCCATTTTTTAAAATTTGAGATGGGGGTCTCACTAAGTTGCCCAGGCTGATCTTGAACTTGCAATCCTCCTACTTTAGCCTCCCAAGTCCCTGTAATTACAGACATGCAGCACTGCGCCCAGCCTCTAGAGACCACTTCTAACACTAGGCTCAAGTGGCTGCCCTTGTCCAGTTGCTCTTAAATTTATCAGAAAAAAAAATGAATTAAACAGCTAGTTTCCTGCCTTAGCAACCACCTCTCCCCATAGACATTTGTTGTCCACACATTTTTATCTGCATACAGCTTTTTATACATTCAGAATGTTTGCAGCTCCAGGCTAACAGCCCATGTGTAGGAGTAGAGACCTTCTGGTTGGTCCATTTGGGCTGGCAAAATATAGCTCCCCCTTTTTCCAGGAACTTCTGGGCTTGGCTTTCTTTCCCCAGGTCCACAGTGTTCAGTTCATGGAGTTCTCCGAAGTGGAGTATGAGGATTACTATTACAGCACAGAAGACGGCAGTATCCACACCCGGGACCAGCAAGGGGTGCATATTATGTACGATGAAGCCTTAAGGGATCTGGAGGAACTCGAGGCAGAGCTGCTGCTCGTGGCCAGCCATTACATTGAGAAAGAAAAAGGTAAGAAGGCACATTAAAAAAAAAATCCACTGCCATGCCAGGTATGGTGGTGCATGCCCATAATCCCAGCAACTTGGGAGACTGAGGTAGGAGGATATCGAGCTCCTAGCCAGCCTCAGCAACTCAGCAAGGCCCTGAGCAACTTAGTGAGAACCTGTCTCAAATTAAAAAATAAAAAAATTAAAAGGGCTGGGGATGATGGCTTTAGTAGTTGAGTCCCTGTGTTCAATCCCTGATAATCAGTCAATCAATCAATCAAATGACCAAATAGAATAAATAAATAAAAACACCTAAAGACCCTAATTAATGCTCTCCACCCCAACATATAAACTCATATCTAATGGTGTCTAAGCATTCAGTAAGCATGTACCCCTCCACCTTACACCCAACACATGCCCACTTTAGAAAAGATAGTGTTTCCTGCTCTCTCTCCCTTTCTGATAGAGACTGTGCCTCCTCTTTCAGGGCTCAGTTGTAACTCTTGCTGTTACTTAGACTCTGTGGCCCAGGGACATTTCAGTGTCACCTACTGGGTGCCCCGGATATGGTGCTGAGACCTGAAGGAAGCAGAATGAAAACAAGTGAAATGAACGCCTTTTTTCCCCTAAGCAACTGACCTTGAGGAAACTGCATTTAGAAGCAGAGACATCCCAGGGTTCCTAACAGGAAACCACCAGGATGCAAGAAGATCTGGCTAGGAAAATGCCAGACACACTCCAGAGGGAGGAATCATTACTCAGGGTGATCAAGTAACCCATAATCTGCATTCTCTCTTCCTTTCCAATTTTAGAAGTAGATGAGGTAAGAGTATTTCTTTTGGAATAATATGATAGCACTAGCATTACATCTGGAAAGAAAGAGCTTAGAGTTTCTAGACACATTGCAACACCTACAGGGAAATTTAGCAAGGATTTAAGTTATTTTGTAATGTGTGCAGACTGTAATTAAGGATAATTCATGTTCATATAGTTATAAAATGCTGCTTGAAGAATGTTTGACAACTAACTTCTCGGATCCCAGATAGAATCAGTTTAACAAAGGGTTGAACTCTATGCCCCGTCCTTGTCACAGCCATTGGTATCTGAATCATGGGGCGCAGTGATAGCATCATCCAACATTCCAGAGCATTTAATTTCAATGCTCAGCTTTTAACTTTACAGGCTATCCTATATATTAATGCATCATTTTTGTCCATATGAATTTATAATACCGTGCAACTGTTTCTAGCTGATAAAATTTAATTTGATCGAAACACTTAGTCAGTAGTCATTTACCCATGAGTATCTTTCAACTGAGCTTTGAAGTGTATAGTCACCAATTATGAAGTGATTTCCCAACAGGTCTTAGAAAAATTCCTGATCAAAGTCTTTATCTTGCTAAGTACCCATCATATACTTGATAACTATTCAATTTAGACTTCAGCACTAAAAATTCCTTACCTTCTAACATTTCTCCTGAACGAGGCCACTTAAAATTTTAAAGCAATAACAATGCTGGTAGTGAAAACTAACATCGACATAGTGTAAATATTTTAGCTAAATAATGACAATAATTAACTTTATGGACCTAAGTTAGTAGTTGACATAATTAAGGAATACCTTGAAAACACTCCCTGAAAGTTTTTGATTTAGCTAACATTAATTAACGGGAACAGCACATTAAACTGAATTTGTTAATCACCAAGTCTTTAGAAAAGGAAAAATGTATGTTCTACCTTTAATATGTATAACTGAGCATATATATTAAATATGCTCAGTTATATATAATATAAAAATTCATTATCATAAATTTTGTGTTTTTTTTCTATTTCTAAAATTACTCTTTAAAATCAGAAAATAAAACTCAAAACTCCTGTCAAATTAGAAGTCAACAAGTCTGACTTCAGGGCCTCATCTTTGCCAATGGTTCTTTAGCTCATTTTTAAGAATCCCAATGACTGGTTCAGTATGTCCAGTTCTGCGAGGCAGCTGGTAATCCAAAAACGCACTTCTAATAGAAACAGATTCTTTGAAAGTCCTGGTTCTAATCATTCCCTCTCCCAGGTCACAAAGAGGGCAGCAAGTCAAAGAGTGGCCAGGATTGGAGATGGACCCATGCAAGTGTGGACAGATTTGCTGTTCTGTATGACATATGGACATGGGAAGCAGCTCTCCTAGAAAACAAATGTCAGGTATTTTTCCCCAAAATAAAGCATCTGTTAAAAATCATTCTTATAAAACTCAGGTTTCTTTTCCCTCCCTCTCTCTCTCTTTCTCTCTTTTCTTCCTTCTTCCCTCCCTTCCTCCTTCCCTTCCTCCTCTCTCTTGTCTCCCTTTTCCTTCTTCTTCTGAACCTACTGGGACTTTTAGTCAAGTTTTCAATAAAGCAAATATTTTTATGAATTTTAGCAAATTATAAAAATATGGGTAGTACAATTTTCTTTGGTTCTTTCTCACAAAAATAAAATGTGAAGAATACTATCTTTTTTTTTTTTTTTTTGGTACCAGGGATTGAATTTAGGGGCACTCAACCACTGAGCCACATCTCCAGCCCTTTTTTATTCTATTTAGAGACAGGGTCTCATTGAGTTGCTTAGTGCCTTGATTTTGCTGAGGCTGGCTTTGAACTCACAATCCTCCTGTATAAGCCTCCTGAACCTCTGGGATTATAGTCCTGCACCACTGTGCCATGCAAGAGCACTTTATCTTGAGGCATAATTTGTTAGAAGCCTTTATAATTTAGGTCTTTCTAGTAATATGTATATTTTTAGTGAGAATGAATGATGATTCCTCTAACACTCATTATCTAGTCATAGGGACTAGCTCACTTTGCTAAACACAAGATAAACTAACTGACCCAATCGTGGCCTTTAGAAGTATATGCCACTTGAGGGTGGGTGACTGCCATTGGGCAAGGAGTGCTGAGTGCATTAAGTTATGGGGTGGAGTTTAAAGCAGTGAAATAGCAAGCTACTAAACCATTAACCATATCATTAATGGCTCCTATCTCAATAATAAATGGAATACTGAAGATGTTCTGCTCTTCATTTGTGTCCTTAGCTTGAATTAATAGTTCTTTTGATAATCACCAATTGTTAGGAGTTTATCCTTCAAACATTGTTTTTACTCTGCCAGATACTGTTCATGGCATTAAGGACATGTAACAGCGGGGCCCCAATTAGAGGGAGAGATCTATCTTACGTGGTGGCTGTCAGAATGGAGGAAATGCTAGGAAGTCTTCCCAGAAGAATAGACATTTAACCTTATTACTAAATTATGAATAAGATGTTGTCCAGCAGAAGAAAAAATAAAAAAGATTCTTAAGCAGATGAAATAGCACTTACAATGCCACGGAGTTATTACGTGGGATTGGCTCATTAGAACCCAAGGTAGAATGCTATGGCATGCTGGCAAACCTTCTAAACGTGCTTTGGGTGCAGACTGTGAAGAGCCTGAGAGTCATGCCATTTTAAAGTTTAAGGCAGGCATAGTGGCCCACCCCTCTAATCCCAGTGATTTAGGAGGCTAAGACAAGAAGATGGCAAGTTGAGGCCAGCCTAGCAACTTAGCAAGACCCTGTCACAAAATAAAAATTAAAAGGGCTGGGGATGTAGCTCAGTGGTCATGTGCCCCTGGGTTCAATCCCCAGTACAAAAAATAAAATAAAAGTTTATCATAAAAGCAAAGAAGAACCATCAATGATGAACTTCCAAAGCTGACAGCATGATCATGCTTTGTTCATGACAGGAATAGAAAGTCCTTGGGGGGAAAAAGTTATTACAATGGTGACCTAAAGAATTAGGAGGAGGTGTGGCACAAGAATTAAAATCAAGAATCAATAAATGGGATGGACTCAAACTAAAAACCTTCTTCTCAGCAAAAGAAACAATCTGTGAGGTGAATAGAGAGCCTACATCTTGGGAGCAAATCTTTACCCCTCATGCATAGGATAGAGCACTAATCACTAGGGTACATAAAGAACTCAAAAAGCTAAGCACCAAAAAAACAAATAACCCAATCAATAAATGGATCAAGGACCCGAAGAGACACTTCTCAGAAGATGATGTACAATCAATTAACAAATACATGAAAAAATGTTCATCATCTCTAGCAGTTAGAGAAATGCAAATTAAAACTACTCTAAGATTTCATCTCACTCCAGTCAGAATGGCAGCTATTATACATACAAACAACATTAAGTATTGGTGAGGATGTGGGTAAAAAGTACACTCATACACTGCTGGTGGGACTGCAAATTGTTGCAGTCAATATGGAAAGCAGTATGGAGATTTCTTAGAAAATTGGGAATGGAACCACCGTTTGGCCCAGCTATCCCTCTCCTCGGTCTATACCCAAAGGACTTAAAAACAGCATACTCCAGGGACACAGCCACATCAATGTTTATAGAAGCACAATTTACAATAGCTAAACAGTGGAACCAATATAGAAGCCCTTCAATAGGTGAATGGATTAAAAAATGTGGCATATATACACAATGGAATATTACTCAGCAATAAAAGAGAATAAAATCATGGCATTTGCAAGTAAATGGATG